GGGATGGGGATGTGACGGCGATCGCGGGGGATCGTCCGAAGGGGAACAAGGATTTCTGTTCATTGACATACCAGAACGGCTGTTGCCGATTTCGCAAAAGTGTATTTTCGCGCGCTAATTTGTGCGCAGAGAGAAAGAGAAAGACATTTTCGCGTCTCGACCACGGACTACGACAACAACGTACGGTTGTTCCTTGCCTGCGACGACGCGATGCAGCAAAGTATATGACGATGACGGTAGCGTCGAGTTCGATGACTGCTCGACAAATTCTGCGGAAACCTCCCAAGAGAGAGTAGTCAAGTGTATTAAGCTATTGACGCCAAGCACGTGGGAATTTCACCCTCGACGTAAATATTTTGAATTCGACGGCGACGTGGGGAAAAATATTATTACATCATCAATAATATTTTCCCAAACATGAAATCTTTTTATGATACGCAGAGAGGGAAAAGAGAGAGAGAGAGAGAGAGAATGAGATCATGATGGTATTATTTGCAGAGCATATTTTATCGTATTCTTGTTTTCAAAACATCTTGATATCGCCGCTGTGACGGACCTTGTCAGCATTGATTTCCTTGGCTTGCCTCAACTCCATAATAAAAACAGTAAAATTATTTTTAGAAGAACTTTTGCCTGCTCGGTGCGTACAATCTTACCTGTACTTCCAAGAGAAGAGACCTCCCAAGAGCGGACTATCTCAAAAGAATTGGATAGACATCCGAAGAACTTTCTTTTTTTTTTTTATTTATTCCTTTGTTATTCCATTTCCGGTCTTTCTTGAATGATTTCACGGACCCCAGGCACATGGCGTACATATTTTGCGTTCATTATCACGTGTCAGTGGTCAGAAAGCGAATGCGGGCTCCGGGCCCTTTGAACCTACGGAGGCTTATGCGCGTTTACATCCGTACGAATGGCGATCGAAGGAAATTGAATTCGTTAGCCGTTGCGGCCGCTGATTAATCTGTGCCAGTCTCTCCAAGAGACATTGTTTTTCAAGATTATTAATATCCGACCTATTCACTTAATAATAGTATTGCTCCGGCACGCGGGATTCGCACGTCAATATCTTATTTATGCAACGAGCGCGCCTCACGGACGACAAAGTCCAAGAGAGGATCTGCCGCGTTGTTGTTGACTCTTCCGCGAATCACAAGTATTATCATACCATTCGGTGAATAATTGCCGGCCGTTTATATATCGTTGTTATGCACGCGTCGCAGCATCCCGAAGATTTCTTTTCTCTCTCTCTCTCTTTCTCTTTCTCTTACTCCATCACTTGCTCTGTCTTTCTCGCTGTGGAAACGTTTGGTTTGATATATCGCGTTGCATGGACGTTCCCCCTGCCAGCAGCCTTTCACGCAGGTCTAAAAATTAAATAAAAAGTAGAAAAGACAGACAGAGGAACAGCTGGTATTCCCGACCGCAGGAAAACCAATGGATCGGCTGCGCAGTTCAAGAGTTTTGTTTGACATTATCTAAAATCTCCTTCATACTTGTACATATTTGTTTAGGAGCACGAGAGTGTGACGTTACGAAAACAAAGCATAGAATCTCAGACTAGAATTTTACGCGAGATTGTAAAATTTAATTACATGTATAAAATGATAATATAGTTTTATATAAAAACTAGTATAGCTGTATTAATATAATATTTTGATGTATTATATTAATTTATTTTAACATTTCTATACACATACACAGTCTGTCTCAAATTTTTCAAACTTATTTTCTGCGAAAGGTAACTGAGCTAGCTATTAAAACAGCTATGGAATTATTTTCTCTATAAAAATTTATTTCTAACTCTATTACGTTTCTTTGTTTATATCATTTATTTACTGTGAGGTCATAATAAAAGTACGTTTTTGACACTTGTCGAGAAAAATAAACATAATACTGAAAGGCGTCCCAAACCATTCACCATCTTTACTACCTTTTTCCTATGATTGTTTTCTTTTTCCATAGTCGAACATAAAGCTGGAAAGATAACATTCTAAAACAATTTCGATAATTGTGGGATACACATAGAAAGTTTTTCGAGGTCATTCCCCTTATTTCGAAAGAAGTTTATCATTATAGATGTTCACAGAAATATTTCGATAAAGATATTTATTAAAGAGATTTCTAAAAATATTGTGTAATCACACTATAAAGACTGTATTACTTCAGATAGAATATATTTTGAATAATTAATAAATAAAAATTCAGAAACTTATAAGACAGACATGTACATGTATGTAAAAATATTCGTAAAAATTAGGAAATAAAAACTCAAAGAGAAATTTTTCCGTGCAAGCACCGGGAGGATTTTCTTCGCAAAGTGTACTTTCCGCAGAGTTTCCGTGTTTTTCCGGCCTCTTATCGCAACTCCTAATTAACCGTCATCTTTAACGTTATCTTCGCGTCATGTGGGCTCCGCTACGTACTCGTATGGGTCACGCGGCGTCGCCATTATGCGTCATTACGCAACATCATTGTACAATATTTGCCGTGCGATCTGCAGACAGACGTATGCGCGCGCGTATGTACACTGCGGATTGCCGCTGACGTAGTGCATTCCTGAGATTACAGGTGGACTACTTTTCAGAAACGCCGGCCGATAAGCCGCGGCGTGTTTCTCCGCTATCGATCTCGTACGCGCCTCCTGCCCGCCGCATGTCGGCCACACCAGAAGATTATCTATCGGCGCGTCAGGAAGATTTACGGAAGGGAACGCGCGCGGCCACCGCATCGACGATGATCGACGATCGCGCCCAATCACTCTGTCTATATTAATAAATTATAAGTGGATCTCCGAACTAACTGGACTATACCCTGAGAGAACAGTTTTTGGTATTTGTAAATATTTATAATTTGTAAAATTCGCATAAAAAAATATATTATTACGCACAATTATAATACGAATTTATATGAATTTAGTCAAATAAGAGAAATAAATTTGGTCAAAATGAATCTTGGTGCTTAAATTTTTTTTATGTAAATTTATACAGTATGTATCTTATGCGTAATTTTTTATCTGATGTTAATGAAAATTTTTAATTATTAGGCACCAGAACCTGTTTTGACCGAGTGTAGCTTTTTTCATCCATTTATGTTAAATATTATTCAGTCGATTATATAACTATGAATATCATATTATATTACGTTATATTTTATAACTATAAAAATGAAGCTTTTAACTACTATTATTTTACAGTCACAAATATTTGGAACTTTCCTCTCAGTGCATAGTATTGGAATTTCAAGAATTGTAAGACGTAGACAACACAGGATGTGACCGTGTAAAATGTGAAAGTTTAGAATATCGTGAGACAGGGCTTTCCTGCTGTTTTCGGTTCTATTCTTAGTTTAGACGCATTCCAACGTCATTGTGTACCTGCTTGACTATGGATTACTATTTCGACGATTATTCAAAAGCTCTTTCCGACAGCGCGGAAAAGTTGAAAGGCGCATCGGGGTCTCGCACAGGTACCTAGCTGAGAGACCGAAAAAGGGCGGGAAGAGCATCCGCGGTACGTCCCGGGACTTGGGAGTTCGGAGCGTATATACCGCCAACCGGCCGTTTTCCGAAGTCTCGGAGGAATCCGAGAACCGACCGGATGCAACTCCAGAATGGGAATGCAAGCGGCCGCGCGCGGCGCGGCGCGTGTATGAGGCTCCGTTACTCGCGTATCGGGTATTTCCCAGAACGCGACTATAAACAAACAAACACATCGAGTTGGTGGGATAAAGAGAAATAGAGAAAGAGAGAGATGACGGAGAAGGAATGGGGAGAGAAACGGGCGGGAGGAGGAGGAGGAGGCGGAGAGAGAGAGAGAGAGAGAGAGAGAGAGAGAGGGCACCGCGCCGCGCGTGTGATCAGTGCATACTCCCTTCCAATGCGAGAGAGTGCACCGATGAGGAGCCAGCCGCCGCGCGTTATGCCGGACGTAGGAAAGGGTGCGCGGGGAGAGACAGGGGGAGGCTTGATCCTGGCGCCGTCGGTTGAGGGAACCCCCTCCCCTTCCACGCCAATTGCGCGACCGGTGCATGCGCCGTGCGTGGGGTTTCCCTGGTTTCCCCCGCCGTCCGCTGGGCGCGAAAACCGTCGGCGTTGCCCCCACCATGGGTACGGAACGGGCGCGCATCGCATACACGGCTTCCCCTCCGACGCTCGCCCGTTCGAAATCGCAACGTAAAGTCGTCGTCATCGTCGCGGACGAAACGGCGACGCGACGGTGACAAACAGTCGACGCTGTTTACCATCGATAATGCGTAGGTATCAGAGGGGGGCGGATGAAGCGAGCAGCCTCGTTTTAAAACGGCGGGTCTCGAGGCATCTCGGAATTCATGGGGTGGGTTTTTCAGGTTTTGCTGCGCTTCTTCCATCCGCGGCAGCTGCGCCTGTCCGGGGTCATTAATCTCGCGCTAACGCGAGCGACCGCCTCGTAAATTCGAGCGTTCTCCCAAAACCCTGGCGGGCGCGCGACGCGTTCCATCTCTTCTGCCTCCGGTCGCGGTCGGCCCTTCGACTCGGAATGCCGAGGAATCGACCCCGATGAAGGCGGTTCTCGGTGGTGCTTTCGTTGCAATTTTCGCACTTGACCGTAGGACCAAGCGTGCTTTACGATCCGTGGTAAGATTACCGGCGGGCGGCGCGACGCGTTACGATGACGGCGGCGGCGGCGGCGGTGGCGGCGGCAGGGGAGAGTTACCCCTGACGCGGTGCCCCACCACCACTCCCGGATGCGGACCCCCGCGTCGGATGGTGGGGGCGCCGACGGCTCCCGGAGTGGGGCTGCTGGCGGAGAAGTGCTGCTTGCCGCCAACTCGGGCCGATCCCTCGTGGTGGGGAGAAAGCGCGGGTTAGCAGCCCGGACACGCCAACCGTCGGATTCAGTAAGCGAACGGCTCTCAACGGCCACGAACGTGTTTTTCGTTCTTCGGTTCCCGCGCATGCATATATATATATATATACACGTAACGGCGATATATATATATATGTGTAACTATCCGAGACTGACCCGCGAGAAACAACACTCGTCGGGAGTAACGCAGTCGGTGATCGGCGACGACGTGACGACCAACAGTTAGTCAGATCGTATAACAGCAGCAACAACAACAGCTTATACATCCGCGACACAGATCCGCTTTTTCGAGTAATTACAAACACTATCCGTCAAACATCCATCTCCGCGATCAAAACAAAAAAAAAACAAGAAAAAAAAATAGTTCTTCCATCCCGGTCTACAAAAACTCCCCCTCGTCATTTCGGTTTCGGTCCTTCAACTTCGTTCCCGCAACTGTGGCTTCAATCAATCAAACTGGATTCCAACAAGCAGTACGTGTCGCGATTACTTCGCGGCTACCGGAGGCTTAAGAAATTATTCAAGGTAAGAGACCCCGTCTTCTTCTTCGAGGGCGAATCTTGTATATCGCAAGTCGCCCTCTTCGACTTCTTCCTTTCTCTCTCTTCTTTTTCTCCTTTACGGATCGAAGGGACCGCGCGATAGATTTTCGCGCGCGTATCCGGCCGTGCAGTGGCAGGGTGTAGTCTCTTAAGTCGCGCGCGGTAGTGCGAAATCGAGTGTGTCTTCAGCAGAAGTACGGTGTGTGTGTGTGGTGAACCCGCGTATCGAAGAATCAGGGTGCTTCTTCGCACCGATAGATTCGCGCGAACTCGCTCAGCTTCGCTTCTTGTGACGCTCCGGGGATCGATAGGGTATCTTGAAATGAGGTAAAAATTAATAAGTGAGCAAGTTCACTAGAATGTTTTTAATGTTATTGGTCAACACTTGGTGAATTTGCTCACTTTTGGAATTCTCATCTCGTTTCCCCTGGAGCGAGTAGAAATCTGTCGCGAGAGAAGAGATACTCTGGCTTGTCTCGAACGTATAGATAGCGCGGGAGAAACGCGCGTGATAAGTTGGCATGCGACGAGGATGACGAGGCTGTTTGTAACGCCGACGTTTCAGCTAAGTGCTAGACGATCTAGCGTTTGATTGTGTATCACGCAACATGATGAAAAACACAAAAAAAAAATGAGCGAATTTTTACTACGGTATTTATCGAATCATTGGCAAACACCCAGAGAATTTGCTCGCTTTTGTGTTATTACATGATTCGATGAAAATTATAAAAATGAGCGAATATTTATTAGATTATTTATCATTTCATTGGTAAACATCCAGAGAATTTGCTCGCTTTTGCATTATCGTACGACTTTACGAAAATCACAAAGTCACAAATCTACTAAAACGTTTATAATTTTATCGATGAACATTTAGTGAAGTTGCTTACTTTTGCAATTTTCATTCTTACAATTATCACAACTTGATTACAAAAAGGAACGAATTTCCTGAAACATTCACACGTCGCTTGCAACGCTCAAGTGTATTTGTCTCGTTTTAAGTACAAAATTTCCGGGATTTCGACCAACGCAAACAAATCTCATGATTTCATTGATCGAGTGAATTTGCTATTAATGAATTCGCTCCGCCTAGTAATAGCACTTTTTTGTGATTTTTACCGAGTGGGGTGCACGATTGAACTCTGGCGTTCGATTTTTGCTTTCTGTAACTTAATGAATTCGCTCCGCCTAGTAATAGCACTTTACTTTTGTGATTTTTACCGAGTGGGGTGCACGATTGAACTCTGGCGTTCGATTTTTGCTTTCTGTAAGATTAGCGGGAAGACTCGCGATATATCTTACGTGCGATCAGAAGTAGACACATTTACAACGCTCAGCCGAGAGCAGCGAGTTATCGCGCTGATTCTCGAGGCAGCCTCGTCGCGAAGTCCACTTTCGCAACGCTGGCGGACAATGTCAATTATCACGACAATCGGAACGAGGATACACCCGTATATATATATGTAGATCGATCGATAAATAAATATGTAGACCGTCACCGCGGTGTTTACGCGACGAATTATGGCGAGGCTCGTGAAGTATACGAGATCCAAGGAAGAGCGAAACTTGTCCATTTCGGGACAAGAGGGAACGGGCGGTGAAATAAATAACGAGGGACGAAGAGAGAGAGAGAGAGAGAGATAGATAGAGAGAGAGAGAGAAGAGGTTATTATTCTGCCCCGCGGCATGAATAATTTACACTCGCTCAAATTTAAATAAATTCGCCCGCCACCGCCGTTGTCGTCGTCGTCGTCGTCGGTTTGAAAAACCGTAAGCGCGTAATCTCGACGTCGGCTCGATGGTTGTTTACGGTCGCGCGTTGCGCGCAGTTAATTTTAAACGAATTCGCCGGATATCGTCGTCGGGTATCTCGTCTCGTTCGTTATCGCCCGGTTATTTATGTTATTCCGTGAAATTACTTAGAAGCCCGTCAATTAGGTCTCCAACCGATGCAGCGCTCGTAAACAACGTGTGACGTAAGCTGGACATACCGCGGTATTACAGCAAATAACGAGGAACGGATGAGCGATAATATTCGCGGACTGGCAAAACATTATTTGTTGTTGAAAAATCGTAAGGGGGGGGGGGGGGGAAAAAAAAACTGCCGATAATCGATCGCGGCTTCTAGCTTCGCCGAACTCGTTCACACAGGAAAGATCAGTTTTGTTGAAGTATTTAAAAATTTAGCTAGATAAAAATTAAAAGATAATTTTGTGTGGATCTTCAAAATAATTATGTAGAACACTTAAACTGGAACTTGCTAGAATGTAACTTTTTGCAGCATTGTCATTAACGTTTAAGTGTTCTACATAATTATTTTGATGGGGCTGAACAAAATCATTTTCAGTTTATATATTTAGTTAAATTTTTAGATACATGGAAAACCGATTTTACTGAAGTATCTAACAATTTAGATACAGATTTGAAAATAATTGTTTGAAACGTCAAAATAATTACATAGGAATCTCAAGCATGATGATCAATGCTGCAAGAAGTTTTGACATTTCTAGCAAGCAGTTTGAGCGTCCTTCGTAATTATTTTTATTATTCAACAGAATTATTTTCAAATCTGTATCTAGCAAAATTTTTATTAGATACTCCAGTAAAATCGTTCGTTTCGTGTACACTCCTTGTTTTCGGTGCGTTCGACGATTCCGATAGCAGAATATCGCGACCGAGTATCAGTTGGGCGACATCCTCTCATGGCCGAAAATAAAAATAAAAAGAAGGAAGGAGAAGAGAGAGAGAGAGAGAGCGCGCGAGCGATTATGGAAACTATCGGAGGCCGTAAGGTCGTCGTTGGCGATCGTGACACGTGAACTGCGGATGACCGAGCGAGATTCCGTCACGCCCGCATACGAGGAGAGGATGTCGCAGTATAAGCGTGTCCACGGATGATGTCTCCCGAAACCGAAAAACATGTTTGGTCCGCGACCGGTTGTTTATACGATATATACCATGTGAAAGCAAACACTTTAAAGATCACCGAAGCGTCGCGCGTCGTCGGGAGCTCGATCTTCGTCCCGGAATGCGTTATCTTTGACGGTCGCAGCGCAAATAAAAAGGAGGAAAAAGATAAAAAATATAGAGAAGGAAAAAAAAAAGGAAATTGAGAAAGGATTTCTTCATTGGATGTATATCGAACTGACGAAACTCAATTCGGCAATTATTATTCCCGTCTCGACGCGAACCTAAATAAGACCTTACGTGAAATGCGCCACGGTGGATAATAGCTCCTGCTAATGTATCGCAACGCAAATACCAACATGGGCGAAATTACGATCTACGCGTGCCCGTGGCACCTTCGGATTAAACCACCCGGCCCCGGTGTGTTGGTAGCGCATAATTCTCGAAACTTTGCCCTGGCCGTGATGCAAGGAACGCGGGGAAACTCTCCTCCAGCCTTTACCTCGGGAGTTGCATGCGAATTGAAAAACAGTTGAGGGTATACTCGCATAACTAACGAAACCGCACGTTTATCGCCACTAGCTTTTGACAACTTCGTTATATACTCTGTATTCATTTCTTATTACATACTACTCTAATATCGAATCCTTCCTTGTATCATAATACAATATATAACAGTGAAGATGTAATATATCAGCGTGTTGATATCACGATTAGAAGATTAATCGATGTATCCCAATTTGTTAGTTTTAATGGTATTATTTTGTTACCTCGAGTGGCATCGCATGTCGCATTACTTTACAATTCCATTAATATATGTTAATATCCAGTCTAGCGCTATTTATGCACGCTTCACGTCAATAACGATACACACTTGTACTAGAAACGTTATTGCCGCACCTCTTGACTCCCCCCCTATACGATCGGAATGCGCACCACCGTGCGATGCGTGCGCATTCCACGATCCGACAGGAAGATCACCCTCGGAGACTAACTATTGTCTGCTCTCGAGGCGGATCGCAACAAAGTCGAAATGTGTTTAAGGTCGACTGTTGCTCTGTCGAGAGAATCTCGTACCCCCCTTCTGAAAATCTTTTCTAGCACACAAACAGCTTTTTCCATGCATCGGAGAGACTCTGTAGCAGAGACTCACCTACCCTTAGCATTCAGTCTCACGCTTTAGTGCTATTCATCCATTGTACAGAAACATGTTTCCTTCTCACTCCCTGGGCCCTTAATTAAAGGAAGAACCGATGGAACGAAATGTATATTGGTAAACAATTTCGTTACCTGAGGGAGCAAAGCTTTGACCAATCTTTTATTTTCGCAAATAACGTTTCGCGGAGGGAACGAATCTCCCTCCACTGAGTTATAAATATAAAAAAAAAAAAGACTACGGTCGATACAAACACTTGACACAATGCTGCACGGTATTATCGCGTTCCTTCCACGAACGATGATATTGCTGATCTGTACTTTGTACTTATCGCCAATTTTTACTTGACGGCTTTAACAGCTCCCTCCGCTCTTTATTATCTATTATATCACCACTCGCGTGCGCTTTATCGCGTACACTATGCACTTCGTACTTTCGCTTAAAATACTTATCGCGTAGTCTAACAAATATTTTCTCTTGCTTTCTCGATTAATCAACGAGTATCGATTAACTCCTGTGAATGAAGAACATATACAAGGATAGATGTATTCCTCGCGTGTATATACCTGTATTCTTTTCTATTATTTTATTCTATCGATACGTTTATTTTTAAGTTTAGTCTACCTTCGTCTTATAGCCTTCGACGAGACGATGGCTTATGCCGTACCAGAACGGTGTGTCGCGGGGACAAACCGTATTCTATTCAATTCCACTCGCTCTCGTTCTCTCCTCGTCGAACGAACGCCTTTATTCGTCGGCATCGGCGGCGCGTGATCCAATTTAACCGCGCTCGCTCGCGACATGTTTCTCAGCGTCTGCGAATGCAAAACATCTCATTCACGGGCAAAAGTGCTGGCCGCCTGCGCCAATAGGCGTAGTCCCTTACCTGCGAGAGCGGCAAAAACGAGAGTAGTGGCGCG